CCCTGTGCCTATAGACACCTGCAACTCCGCTGTTAGAATTCGGTGCAGGCCCTGAAAAGGAGTTTCTCGGTATGTTCCCCAAACTGTTTGTAACCTCCTGCTTGGGGCCGGGATGCGGTGCGACGCATTCCACACGCATTCAGACCATAAGGCTCTGAACTATTTGAAGATTTATCAAAGTTCCCTGGAACCTCCACGGTGGGGGGGGGTCTTTAGACATGAAGCATGGTTCGGTTGATTCGACTTCAGTACTTGTAGGGTGAACTTGGACAGGCGTGGGGAAGTCTCCTTTGCAAACATTCCATCTCAATAGTGTGTGTACAGTTCGTGGCTCGCGCTCTCCGCGAGTGGACAGAAGGCACCGAATGCAAGAAAAGTTGCCTTCACACAGATTCGCTCCAGGATTGAAGGGATGAAACAGCGGTAGACTGGCGCAGCAGAGCGTAGCGTGCGACCGGCTTCTACAACCCGTTTCCTTCCATCCGCAGCCGGGCAAAGTCAACAGAGTCTTCAAGAGAGACTTCCCCTTTGCCTCAAAGACCCCTGGGCAGCTCTTGCCCTGCATCCGGCGTCCAATGCAGTATCAACTTGCCATGGCAGCCATTCATGGGACCTGGCGCGGAACATCCGAGTCCGAAGGGCCCCTGCGTGATGGGCACCCCTGCGCAAGTGTCGCGCCCCAGGAGCCGAAGGATGGGGAGCCCAAGGACATCGAGGCCCCGTAAACCCTAAACCCTAAACCCTAAACCCTAAACCCTAAACCCTAAACCCTAAACCCTAAACCCTAAACCCTAAACCCTAAACCCTAAACCCTAAACCCTAAACCTCTAAACCCTAAACCCTAAACCCTAAACCCTAAATACCTCTACACCCTAAACCCCTAAACCCTAAACCCTAAAACCCGAAGGTCCTCGAGGCCAAGATCTCGGTTTCCCCGAGGAAGAAGGAGCTCAAGTACATCGACGCCAAGAGCCCCAAGAGCCCGAAAGTCTGTGAGCCGAAAGGAGGTGCTTAGAGGGAAGCTGGGGTGCCCGGAGGGCCCTGAGTGTGTCTTAGCTACCATGTTTGCTTGTAAGAACCGCCCCCCCCCCCCCCCAAACAAATAGAACATAGTCTTCCTCTAAGGGGAATATAGGGAGGATTTTTTTTTTTTTTTTTGGGGGGGGGGGGGGGGGGCGGCGGGTGGGGGGGGCTCTTATGCAAATAGTAGTTGTGCCTCCGTGGCCGGGATACTGCCTATGCAGTTGGCGGGGGGAGGGGAGGGGTTCTTAAGCAAGTAGTAGTTCTCCAGGGCCGGGATACTGCCCAAGCAGCGCTTGCGTGCTATGCAACTGTGCGGTTCTTGCATGTTCCATCATGCTCCTAAGTTCTGAGTTGCTACATGTTCCATCTCATGTTCCTACCTAAGGTCTAGAAGTTAGTAGTGGAACCTGCCTAGTACGCTCCAATCCCATGAGGCTTTCGAGATGCCTGTTTGTAGCAGTCCCTGTGTCCCCATTTTCAACCTGATTGAAACCGTCAGTGGGAGACACATGTTCAGATCGCACGTCTCTGAACCATTTGAAGCTTTCACGCTCACGGTTTATGAAGCCGAGGGTTAGCCGCCTAACTCGACTTCAGCTCGGTGCTCAATTCGTGTTCAATTCGGACTAACTGGGTCCTCGTTGGCTTTAATTTTACATCTTTGCTACGATAAAACCCAATAAGGATTAAACATGTTTAATATAACCCCAACAAGGACCCAGGCAAGGGCACGGAAGTGTCCTTAGCAGTCTTCCGTCTTTGCAGTCTTCCGTCTCTGACGGTGATCGTCAGTATCTGTACAGCACATGGCTTGCTTTTCGCAAGTCGACAAGCCACCCGTTGCATCCTTGTGTGATCATTGTGGGGCTGGGGCCTTCGCACAGATTCGCGACGTCAAAGGGGGCCACAACGTGAGCAGTCATGTGCCATTGAGCATGGCATTTTTACAGATGCTTACAGGCAGCGCACGTGTTTTGCACCATCCTGACATTGCCGGGCCTGGTTGGGCAAGCCAGCGGAGTTTCAAGAGGGCCGTTCCTGCACCGCACCGCACCCCTCGCCCTAAACCGTCCCTTGTTGCCATGGCAGCCGTCGATAGGACCCGCGGCGGCGCTTTGGAGCTTCAGGCAGAGCAAGGGATGAAGCTGCTGAAAGCCACCGAACTCTGGGGTCCAATTTGGGAAGCCTTTCGTATGCTTTGCAACTAGCGCGTGACATGTAAAATCAGTGCACCACACCACAGTTTATAGGTGCCATGCCACAAATAAACCTTCATCAGCTTGATAGCCTATAAGGAAGCGTCCGGCGCGGAGTACGACGTCGCCGCCGCGGAAGCTTTTAGGAGGGAGATCGAGACGAAGATCGCGAAGTTGGAGATGGAGGCGACTCAGCTGACCGGCAAGGACAACAAGAAGGAGCGCTCCGCCAAGGGCAAAGAGGTGGCCGACCTGAAGAACGAGCACAAGTACGTCGACGCCTGCAAGGTCGCGAAGGGACTTGAGCCGAAGTTTGGGCACTTCGTCACGAAGGAAGCCGTGCGGCCCGAGATGGACACCGAAGAGCCCGTGCAGGAGCCATTTCCGACGCAGCCATCGGTGGAGGGGATTAGGGTTTGAGGTTTAGGGTTAGGGTTGAGGGGCCCGGGGTCTAGGGTCCCTTCACAAACCTCTATAACCTCCCCCCAAATTCCGGGGCGCTACGTGGGGGGCCCCTTTGTCCCCTGAACTGTGGCGGGGTTTCTCAGCCTAAACCCGAAGCCCAAATCAGAGCCCCCCCCCCCCCACAGAAAAAAAAAAAAAAACATCAACACCCTCAGTCTTCGGAGGCTGAGGGGTGCGAAGCACACCGAAGCGACCTGTAGTTTTGATCGGGTTGAGTGGTGATTCTGTGCAGGAGGCGGTGGAGACGAAGCCGAAGAAGGAGCAAAAGAAGGAGAAGAAGGCCGAAAGCGCAGGCCTCAGCCACGATGAGCTGAAGGAACTGGAGGACCTCGCTTTCGGAGAGTATGCCTGTGTATTACGCCTTCAGAAATACATTTTAGTCCGTAGCCTTCAGCTTTCGTAACATGTTTTTTTTGTAGAATCTGGAGTCTGGGAACAAGAGGACCTGAAGCAGAAGATCATCGAGGAGAAGGCCATCCTCAAGGAAGAGGGCCTGAGCGGAGGACAGATCAACAAGAACGAGAAGATCGTGGCGTTGGTGAACAGGTTGAACGAGCTCAAGGAGAAGCAGGACCCCGGCAGTTCCAAGAAGGAGAAGGACGGCAAGAAGGACTCGAAGAAGAAGACGCCCCTCAGTGCGGAAGAGCAGAAGGACTACGTTCAGCTGCAAGGCGACATTGAGGTTTACAAGGCAAAGTTGCGAAACGAGTTCGGCTACACCAACAAGGACATGAAGGCAGATCCTGATTTGAAGGACATGGAGGCGCGCCTCGCAGCCTTTGAGAAGCGCAGCTGAGGGATCTGAGGGCCGGTTTTGGGGTGCTTGCGGCCAGTGGCAGTGCGCCGCGCAGTTCGCGCGATGCATTTGCTGGCTGCAGGCCCAGGATGTATACTTTTACATGGGTGCAGGACTCTTGAACATGAAAGCACAAGAAGGCTAAGAAAGCATCTAATTACCCTCCTTAAGCCGAGGAGGCTTGCAATGCACCCTGCAGCAACTCCTGCAAGTCCCTGCGCCTATCGACACCTGCAACTCCGCTTCGTGAATTCGGTGCAGGCCCTGTGAAGGAGTTTCGTAAGTCCCTCAAACTGTTTGAAACCTCCAACCCTAAACCCTAAACCCTAAACCCTAAACCCTAAACCCTAAACCCTAAACCCTAAACCAGGGCCGGGATGCCATGCAGCGCGTTCCACAGGCGTTCAGACCATAAGGCTCTGAACTATTTGAAGATTTCTCAATGTTCCCTCGAACCTCCATTCTCACAGGGGTCTTGATAGGTACCTAAACCCTAAACCCCAAACCCCAAACCCCAAACCCTAAACCCTAAACCCTAAACCCTAAACCCTAAACCCTAAACCCTAAACCCTAAACCCTATAAACCCTAAACCCTAAACCCTAAACCCTAAACCCTAGGCATGGTAGGGCTGATTCGACTCCATTCGGCGTTTGAACTCTGACAGGCGTGGGAAGTGGAGGCCCATGCTGCAATCACCCCATCTCGACGCTAGTGCTTGTAATGATTTCTCATACTCGGCTTAGGGTTTAGGGTTTAGGGTTTAGGGTTTAGGGTTTAGGGTTTAGGGTTTAGGGTTTAGGGTTTAGGGTTTAGGGTTTAGGTAGGGTTTAGGGTTTAGGGTCTAGGGTCCCTTTGGAATATACTATAATAACCCCTTGTTCGAATTATTATTAAGGTTCTTACAGTAGCTTGCGGCTCGCACTTTGCGCAAGAGCTGGAAAAAGCAACCGACGATGCGAATGGACCGTGCCCACTGCTGAACCAAACAGAGTCTCGCACTACTATTTGCTTAAGAACCTCCCCCCCCCCCCCCCTCCCAACAGATATGAGAAAGACTCTTCCTTATCAGGTCAATCTATAGGGATCATTGTCTTCATTTTACCCTAAACCCTAAACCCTAAACCCTAAACCCTAAACCCTAAACCCTTAAACCGAGCAAATGGTAGTGCACGAAAAGTACCAAGGCCGCAGGTTGGATTCTCCTGTCGTAGTCGAGTTGCGGAAGGAAGCCCCAGAGTAGGCCCTACACTCCCGTGTTTGTAGGGTTTAGGGTTTAGGGTTTAGGGTTTAGGGTTTAGGGTTTAGGGTTTAGGGTTTAGGGTTTAGGGTTTAGGGTTTAGGGTTAGGTTCCCATATCATCCCCGTCCCTGGGTAGGTTACTCTTGGGTCTAGCCGACTACAGTATGACACTCGGCTCGGCAGTGCATGGGTAGGCACGACTGGAATATTCTCCGAGTATTTGTGCCCTAAACCCTAAACCCTAAACCCTAAACCCTAAACCCTGACTTGAAGCGGCCAGGTTGACCTGGTAGACCCCGCGCTCTGCGGCGAGGCCACCCGCTTGCGAGTGGCGGTCTATCTGCAAGGCGTGGGCTTGTCCGAGCAGGTCTGCATATCGTTCGGGGGTTTAGGGTTTAGGGTTTAGGGTTTAGGGTTTAGGGTTTAGGGTTTAGGGTTCGTAGTAGTACTGCTCGGATAGCGACGATTACGACCTCTACCGCTGCCACTCACTAGCAGTAACCTAGCAGCTCAAAGGGGGGGGGGGGGGGCAAAGGACTCTACATCATCTGCGCCCGGATTCCCCAGCACAATTCAGTTGACAAGCACAGCGTGGGATTCTTGCCTTCTGAACTTCCTTGGGTTTAGGGTTTAGGGTTAAATGTTCAGGGTGCAGGGCTGTCTACGAAGTCATTGTACCATCTTGAAAGAAGCTTAAGGCATCTTCCTCGATTCAGGGTGGTTGGAAGTTCTGAACGCTTGCACCCTTAATCATTCCTCATTTGTCCATTTCAAGTGTTAGCTCTTTCCCTCCACTCAATATGAGACACCCCCCCCCCCCTACCCCCCTACCCCCCTTAATGTTATTCGTTCCTCTTTGATCAGATCTCGGTCTCTGTCTTTGTCTCTCTCTCTCTCTCTCTATATATATATATATGCCTGTGTGTCTTCACTTGCTTGTTCCTGAGGAATGCTTTTTTTAGGGAGGCAGACGGGTAGACATGCGGGTTGACATACACTTCGGGCCTCTGATGGCGTCTTGCTTGTAGATAATGGTGCCAGAGAGCCGAGAGAGTAGGGATCAATCCCGCATCCCTGCTAGCTGCTAGTTGAAGAGCTGAGGGCCTTCAACAGTGGAGAATTTTTGGGCAGGCAAGTTGTTTTCTTTTGCACTGTTGTGGTGCCGCGCTCCTGGCAAGGCGAGCTTCTTGCTGAAGGAGAAGGCAGGTGACCCTTAGACTACCCCTGAAGCCCCTTCCCTACCTTAAGCTCTAAGCCCTCCCAATTGCCACACCCTGTACGCTATAAACCCTAAGCTCTGTGGTGTGTGTAGTGCGTGTGGCACAGAAAGCTAAACCCTAAAACCCCAAACCCCAAACCCCAAAATAGACGAGTCCGAGGAGACGGCGCGTTTCAAGCCGACGTCGCTGGTGTTGAGCCCTGGGAGTTGTGGAGCCCTACACATCCCAGGCCACAATGGGTTTAGGGTTTAGGGTTTAGGGTTAGGTGGCATGGACCTTCAGGTACGATGTGAGGGTTTGCCCTTCTCTACCTGTTGCAAAGCCATTAAATGCTCTATGCCTGTAGCATGTCAGCGTCGTTTTGTTTTAGACCGCTCAGAGGTTTCTTTTAATGTGGGTTTCGTAGTTTAGGTTTTATGCCCTAAACCCTAACCCTAAACCCTAAACCCTAAACCCTAAACCCTATTTGTTTTCCGGTTGTAGAGGGCTCATGGGACTTGCGGGGCTTACGACGCTTGTAGGGTTTGTAGGGTTTATCGGGTTCAGGGCTTGGGGTTTACCATTTCGTTTAATGGTGGGTGTTTATCTGATATAGTGAGCGTGTGTATATATATATATATGTGTGTGTGTGTGTGAAGTTGCTAGTCATTCACCGTCTACTTCACAAGCATTTTGGTTCAGGGTTCATATATATGTATATATATATACATATCTATATAATATAGGTTTATATTTATTCATTTAGTCATTTTTTTATTATTATTTTCTGGTTTTGTCATTTATTTATTTGTTTTTCTTGTTCAGGATTGTAGGGTTCATAGGTCTCCTGGAGCAAGATTCTAACGGGGTTCACTGGAGTTTACAGGGTTTAGGGTTGCTGCCGCTGTGTCCGAAAGCATGACCAGCAACACATGAGCCATCATGAGCCCTAGCCTATAGTCCTATCCTACGCCCTGCAGTGGGCACTTAAAACTAAAACCCGCTTGCGGTTTTGGTGCAAAACTTGCAAAGGCTGCATGTGGCCAAGCTCTCACTGTGCAGCTTGACGCGCCCAACCTGCGGCGATGCTTTGGCAGGCAATATATCAAAGGGCAGTTTGTCAAAGGGTTTCGGGTTTAGGGTTTAGGGTTTAGGGTTTAGGGTCTAGGGTTTAGGGTTTAGGGTTTAGGGTTTATGGTTTAGGGATTCTCTTCCACGACCCAACCAAACCACACCCAACAGGCCCTGCATGGGCCTCCGCAGCACGCCCATTGTTTGCCAGGTCCGTTTTGAAGCAGGGGGTTGCTAAGGTCTACATTCATATATGAATGGTTTAGGGTTTAGGGTTTAGGGTTTAGGGATATATACGTATGGATGGATATACAGTTTATGTACTCGAAAGGTGTGCCCCGGTAAGCTCAATTTGTGGTTCATGGGCCCGTGCTGCAGGGATACCTATATGCCCTTCGAAGCACACATGCTAAACATGCCCATGGCGGCGTTTGGTGATAGGCCTTGCTGGGGCTGAGGCGAGTGCAGCGTGCTGAAACGCTTAGATGCCTGTGAGTTCAGTTCTGCGACGCTCATGTCAACGTTGGAGGGCATGCAAGACCATTTTGGTGGGAGCATCCAGAGGTTTCTCTGGGGCAAGGCTTGCGGCAAGTTTTTTTTAAATACAAGTGGTCAAGGTTTGGGGTTTGGCCCTATAGGGTTTAGGGCTTAGGACTCCTCACCTGTGGGGTCACCTTTGAAGCAACAACACTCCGGCGGTGTAAGTCTTCGGCCTGGCTGCGGGTGAGTTGCAAGGACCGGAGAGAGAGGGTTTGGGGGTTAGGGTTTATAGGGGTGGTTGTTCTTTCTATGCATTCCGTAATATTTATTTGACGGAACCTCGAAAAGAAACTGCGGTCTAGTTAATGAGGGAAAGGTTCAATCTTATCCACTGCCACCCCCCGTTTATTTTCGAAAACATTCCAGACAAAAATGACCATTTCAAAGCGCACAGGCTTTTTACTATGCGTTTAGTGTCCTTAAGTATTAAGGGAAGCCATTTGCACAAGGGTCCAGGGTTTAGGGCTTAGCGTTTAGGGTTTAGGGTGGCTTAGGAGATCTACATGGGCTGAGGGCACTGGACCTTGAACCTGTGCGACATCCGCTCTGCTTAAGGACACCATGGATTTCACTTTCGCCCTGCGTGCGCTCTCGAAAACAGCCGGGCCACGCCAAGGACAGAAACCCTCCCTGTAAAACTTGGTAGCCCAGCGTACCCTTTTTGTTCATTTTCTTGGTGTTGGGACCTTTTAATGATACGATGGTTACTGGGCTACCAGGTAAACCTTGGACCCTCGGAACCGAGCGCTAAGCCTACACAACCGGCCTTTCTTGGAGACAGCAGGACAAAGCCTCCGTCCCGCTTGCCATCATAAGCCCCTAGAACCACTGCAGCCCGCGCAGAAACTCTCCACAAATAAACCCTCAGCCTTAAACCCCAAGCCGCAAACCCTAAACCCTAAATCCTAAACCCTAAACCTAAACCCTAAACCTACAACCCTTCCTTGGAGGACCTCGCGGGGAGGTCGCCCTCCTCTTAAATGGCGAAGCCATTCTCCAGAGTGGCGCAACTGGGCCCTTAAGAGAATCGGGTTCAAGGCGCACCTGGAGGTTCGTACAATTTGTATTGGTGGGGTTTAGGGTTCAGGGCTTAGGGTTCAGAGTTATGACTATAACTAATAACTATAACTACAACGATAACGAGAACTATAACTATAACTAAGGCGTACTTGGAGCTTCATGTTTGTGTTTTTAAAAGTAGGGTTTAGGGTTCTTGGTGTCGGAACTACAGCTATAAATATAAATAACTATATAGACCCAGGCTTACTTGGAGGTTCATACTATTTGTTTTGGTGGGGTTTAGTGTTTATAGTTTATAGGGGTTAGGGTTATAAGTGTCGTAACAATATTTGTAACTATAAGATAAGCAAACAAGTAAATACAAATACATGTATAGATATATAGGGAAAGGTACTTCTAACCCTAAACCCTAAACCCTAAACCCTAAACCCTAAACCCTAAACCCTAAACCCTAAACCCTAAACCCTAAACCCTAAACCCTAAACCCTAAACCCTACCGTAGAAGTACCCAGGAACCTCGCAGTAGGAGGTTCGGAAGGGCCTTGCAGGCTTAATTTCTCAACCAGGTGGGGTGTTTTGGCTTGGGGCTTTACTGGTTTCGGGTTTGAGGGTTTAGGGTTGCTTTTAGGTTTCTAGCTTTTTGGTTTTTTTGGGTTTCTGGTTTTTTTTTTTTTTTTTTTGGAGGGGGTGGGGGGGTCTGGGTTTAGGCTACAAGGGTTTCGGATTCAGGCGGTTGAGGGGTTCGATCACTTGTCAGGCCAAGTCCCAAGTCCGGAAGTCTAGTCACAAGTCCACACCAGAGAAACCTTCTTGCGAATGCTGTTCGGTTCAACGTTCTTGTTGACGTAAGTTTAGACTTCAGGGTTTCAGGCCTTCTGCCCTTTGTTTTTGGGTGGTGTTGGCGCGTGCTGGGTCCTTTGATATGCGCTTGTTTGTGGTAAATGAAGGCTTTTCTGGGGAGCTGCTAGTAGTTGCTCGAGGTTGTTGCTTGTCGCTGTGCGTGGGGTCTTTAGGTTTGTACTCCTAAACCCTAAACGCTATAAACCCTGAACCCTAAACCCTGCAACCTAAACGCCCGCGGCTTAGACTAGAGACGAGGGGATGCGTTCGGGGAAGTCGGGGTTCTTCCGCTTTTTTAAGGGGTTTGGGGTTTAGAGGGTTTAGAGGGTTTATAGGGTTTGGAGAGGGTTTAGAGAGGGTTTATAGGGTGGGGTCCGTACACGTGAAGCCGAGGTGCTGTACCAAGCCTACTGGCCTGAGTCACTCATCACTCCGCCCAGTGAGAATGCGATGCTAGAGGAGTCCATTGCTAAGACCGTTAGGGTTTAGGGTTTAGGGTTTAGGGTCTAGGGTTTAGGGTTTCGGGTTTCGGGTGAGGCCACAAGTGCACGCTGCAATAAACTGCAAGCCACAGTGAGCAGTCGTCAAGAGTCGTGACGGTGGCGTGTAGGTCTCTGTCTCTGTGTGTGTCTCTGTGTGTCTGTGTCTGTGTCATTGTCTGTGTCTGTGTCTCTGTCTGTGTGTGTATGTGTGTGTATAGTTTTCTCGTGGTATCTCTCCTTCCTGCATTCATGCGCTTCCGTGCTTGGCTGTGTCCTGGGTGGGTTTGGGCTTGGTATAGATTCTGCCTGGGTAGGACTTGCGGCTGATCAAGAGCAGCGGCTTCAACATGGTGCGGGTTCATGCAGCTGTCACTTGGCGAGCGCGGGAGTCAGCAGGATGAAGGATAAGAGAGGCGTGCGGCCCTAGAAACACCTCGGTTGTTGCAGGGAATCTTGCGCAATCTCAACCTGAACCCACAGACTCTCCGCAGCCTGTGCCAAGAGGTTCGTTTCAACTGGATGATGGCGGGGTTTATACGTAGGCACCAAGCAAGCGCCCCGAATCCTCCACAGCGAGGTGCTGCCCTCGATGTTCTACCATTTCTGCGATCAGGAGGCATGTGGTTTTGCCTGGATAGCATTCCCTGGTGACGGCGCATGATCCTTTTCACTCACTTGCTTGCAAAAGCATCCCTAAAAAACCCTAAACCCGATATAGTTCGATTGCGGGCAGCTACGCAGGTGGCATAACCAAAAATGAGATATAGTCATGACTCCTCCTTCTATGATACAACCCCATCGTGCCTGGCTGGACGGGTGGCAAACAACCGAGATATCGAACCCGAAGCCCTAAACCCTAGACCCTAAACCCTAAACCCTAAACCCTAAACCCTAAACCCTTGACCCTAGACCCTAGACCCTAAACCCTAAACCCTAAACCCTAAACCCCCACGCTGAGCCGCCGTCCTGTGTTCTGACCAGGGCCTCCTCGTTTGGCAGGCCCGGAAGCCTTGGGCCTGTCGTCTTGTGAGGTCGAGACTGGGTCTTCCCTTACATGCTTTTAACCTTAGGGTTTAGGGTTTAGGGTTTAGGGTTTAGGGTTTAGGGTTTAGGGTTACAGCCACTAAGCCCCAAACCCTGTAAACCCCATAAACCCTGAAAAAGCCCTGAAAAGCCCTTAAAAGCCCTGATCTTGAACCCTATGAGCCCGAAAGCCCTTAAAACCCTAAAACCCTTACCCTTGTTGCGCAAATTCCTACGTGCGGCCTGCGGAGCGTTGCGAGTTGCGCACCGGGGTACGCTGGACCAAGAAGACCCGAAGTTGTTTGGGGTTTAGGGTTTAGGGTTTCAAAGCCTTTGCATATTCTCCTTGCAGAACACTGTCACTAAAGCCTGCTTTGAAAGAAAAACTGCGAGCTGCGACCACTTCGTGACAAGAACCTGCACCACCTGCGACCCAATCCTGAAACCCTCAGCCCTAAACCCTGAACCCTAAACCCTAAACCCTAAACCATCTCAGGGTCAATAGCTAAGACCCACGCAGAAGGTACCCCTAGTCGCATATCTATCTGGGCTCAAGAGTCTCAAGAGCTCTGCCAATAGCCGCGTCACGAAACCAGGGTTTAGGGTTTAGGGTTTAGGGTTTAGGGTTTAGGGCTTGGGGTTTAGGGTTTAGGGTTTCGGGGCCGCACGAGCTCGTAAATTCACTGTATATTCTGATTCTTTTCAGGCGGGGGGGGGGGGGGGGGGTGGGGTTTCTGGGTGTCACATCTTAAACACCACGCTTTTCGTTTTCACGGTGTTGTGTACGTGGCAGAAAGGAACAGGATGATTAAGCCCACGTGAGCACAAAGCGCGAGGTAATCAACAACGGCCCGGCCCCTTGGCATGTTTCTAGGTTACTTGGGAACCTCTACCCTCGTGAGGGCAGCCGCTTCTAAACCCTAAACCCAAATGAGGGTTTGTAAGCTTTCCGACCCCCCTAAACCCTAAACCCTAAACCCTAAACCCTAAACCCTAAACCCTAAACCCTAAACCCTAAACCCTAAACCCTAAACCCTAAACCCTAAACCCTAAACCCTAAACCCTAAACCCTAAACCCTACCCCCTGCAGCCCTCTGGCAGGACTTTCCGGCCGGCGATGGCCGCGCCCTACCGATCTGGGATGCGGCGCGAGGGACCCTGGAGCAGCGCCTGCGACGGCATGGTTGAGTAGGGCTGTTTAGGGTTTAGGGTTTAGGGTTTAGGGTTTAGGGTTAGGGTTTAGGGTTTAGGGTTTAGGTCTAGCGCCTGCGACGGCATGGTTGAGCTGTCTAGGATGCCCAGTAGTACCCTTATTCCCTTTTTGGGGGGTTTAGGTTCCCTTAGAAACCCCTTTAAGCAAAACAGGGCACCCTTTTTACGCCTAGGTTACTGGCCAGCCTAGCTGTACAGAGCTTTTTGTGGGGCTTATGGGGTTTGCAGGCCTTAAGAAGGGCTTATAGACTTTGCTTTTGGAGCCCTAAGCCCCAAAAGTCAAATTGAGTTGAAGCCCGAAGCCCTTAGGAGAACCCCGCAAACATTCAAACTTGCTGCGATGTGGACCCGCCCCAGCCGTAAAGATTAGAAAACTGCTTGAACAAAAGGGTTTAAGATTAGGCATCGAGCTTTCTTAGATTGGTGGCTTGAAGCATCCTGTACAATGGCACAAGATCTCCCTACCGGTATATACTCAACCCTAAACCCGACAACCTAAACTGTAAACCGTTAAACCCTAAACCCTAATCCCTAAACCCGAAACCCTAACCCCTAACCCCTAAACCCTAAACCCTAAACCCTAAACCCTAAACCCTAAACCCTAAACCCTAAACCCTAAACCCTAAACCCTAAACCCTAAACCCTAAACCCTACCAACAACCACTCGGACACAGAACGCAGGCAGGGGGAAGTGGAGCCGTTGCAGCTGGATGAGATCCGTCGGACAGATGAGTCCGCGGACAACTTCTGGAAGGACAAGGGCTTGAAGAGGTTTGTGGTTTAGGGTTTAGGGTTTAGGGTTTAGGGTTTAGGGTTTAGGGTTTAGGGTTTAGGGTTTAGGGTTTTAGGGTTTAAGAGCTGCAGGTTTAGGGTTTAGGGTTTAGGGTTTAGGGTTTAGGGTTTAAGAGCTGCAGGTTTAGGGTTTAGGGTTTAGGGTTTTAGAGCTGCAGGTTGATGCCTGATAAAAGGGTTTAGGGCTTCATGGGCGTTCACAGGGTTTCCAGGGTTTATGGTGTTTAAAGGGTTTTTAGGGTTTATAGGGTTTTTAGGGTTTTTAGGGTTTATAGGGTTTAGGGCTTTGTTAGAAGTTCTCCAGTTGTGGACGTTAGTCGCTGACCTTGAACAGGAAGATAGATCCTTAGAAGGCCACCACGGGTCCAACCACAAGCCGCCCCCTCCCCCAGCAGGAATGATGCAGCAAGACAGCAAGATGCGAAAGACTTGGGTGGTAGTTCTTTTCCCCGATCGTCAGAATTGCTACCCTAGTTACTGTAGTTGGTGTTGATACCCTACTTGTCGTAGCCATGATAGTGATTATTGCAGTGATTCTGCTTTCACCGAAAAGACTTCGAGTGGCGGCTGGCCTGTATAAAGTCCACCCTCTTTCAATGTATTCCTTTCTTGCCCAGGAACCTAGACCTTTTTTGGTTAAAGGAGCTGCGGTCCCTGACACGCTGGCTCCGAGGCTTCGGCTGCATTGTGTGCGCCTCGGCGGCGATTCTGGTAGGGCTTAGGGTTTAGGGTTTAGGGTTTAGGGTTTAGGGCTTAGGGTTTAGGGTTTAGGGTTTAGGGTTTAGGGTTTAGGGATCATCAGAGGATTGAGGCTATGCAATGGAGTTCCGGCTCCTGGAGGTCTGAAGCCTTTCGCCAACAGATCGCACGCAAGCTAGCACTTGCAGGTTCATGGGTAGTTGCAACCTATATCTCAGATGTAAATAGCAGGGTATCCATAAAACCCAAAACTTGATTATTCGAGGCACGCAAACGCCATACTTGCACAACTCCCCATGAAATGATGGATTTCATGGTCCCCCGAACCTTACTGCCATGGCCCAAACCCGGAACCTTGAACTGAACTTAAACTTTTTTGGAACCCTAAACCCTACACCGGGCAGGAGCGAAAACACACCGCCCCAAAACCTATAAACCCTGAACACTAATCCCTCGAACCCGGAACCTGAAATTGAAACTGCCCTAAACCCTAAACCCTGAACCCTAAACCCTAAACCCGGACAGTGACCACAGAGAAAGGCTGGGTGCCCTTCAATGAGGCTTGGGGGCAGAGCCTCGGCATGCAAGAGACTGTAGGCTGTCAGGCTTCCAACGCATATGAGTTTAGGGTTTAGGGTTTAGGGTTTAGGGTCTAGGGTCTAGGGTTTAGGGAGTTTCTTGGGCTCGTCGATTTGCAGGTCTTGAGGTTGAGATCGCCTGATGTTCTTGGATGTTGCATTTCGGTTCTGGGAAGTAAGTCCATGCAATTGTCATCGTGTCAGCTGGCCTTCAGCGTCTGGAATCAAAAAAGGGAGTTTCTAGTAGGCAATGAGGGAGTTAGATACCCTATATCCCCCTTCAAGGGATTCTACAGGTTCACGGATGGAATCAGGATCGCTGGACAGCTTGACGAGGCTAAGGCTGCTGAATCTCTTTGGAACGAAGCAAAGAACAGAACTCTGGTCAACAGGTATGTTGCCCATAGAAGAATTCATGCTCACTGGGCGACGTTGAAGTTGCTGCTGAAAGGCTCGACATGTGGAACAGTGGCTGCAGGGATAGTTTAAGTTCCACCTTGGCAGGTTGCGGCTGCACATAGCCGAGTTTCAAGTGATGTTTGGCCTAGAGCTTCGGCTTTTGGGTTTAAGGTATCTCAACTGAACCCTATAAACCCTAAAAACCCTCCCGAGTGGTTTGTCCAGCTATGCGGGAGCGAACAAACCCTCCTGCCGTGCGCGAGAGCGAGCGACGACAGCCCCTAAACCCTAAACCCCAAACCCCAAACCCTAAACTCCTCTAGAACCCGGAAATCCGTGTTGAAGATGTTCTTTTTTTGGAAAGCCCTAAACCCTAAACCCTATCCCCTAAACCTCCTGAGCTCCTCGTTTCCCAGGTTTCAATCGATGCAGGTGGTGCGATGGCTCCGCGCCTTCGGTGGGCAGCGTGCTTCGTTGGCAAGGGACTCCATGCTTTGCGGGGTTAGGGTTTAGGGTTTAGGGTTTAGGGTTTAGGGTTTAGGGTTTAAATTTAACCTGCATCCTAAGTTCCAAATCCGGATAGGTTTCAAGGACTGTTTAGGGGTTTAGAGTTTAGGGGTTGAGGGGTTAGGGTTTAAGGGTTTAGGCTAGGGTTTAGGGTTTTAGCGTGTGCAGAGATACCTGGGGAAGCAGTATTGCTGTTGATTGACTCTTGGCGCGCAAGGGGAACCAACGATGTGCGACACCAAAACCCTTGAACGTAGTTTTTTTTTTTTTTTTTTTTTTGGGGGGGGGGGGGGGTAGAGCAATCACACCATTAGGTACCCCTTATGAAGTTCCCATAAGCCCCTACAAGCCCATGTGGAGTTCTGGCCTCCAGGCTGGATTGACATGGCCAGTGGGTGGAACGATGTGGGCGACCTCTTCCAAGGAGACCGAAGACAAGCCCCACACGCCAACTTTGGGTTTAGGGTTTAGGGTTGTAGGGTTTAGGGTTCAGGGTTCCCTGCAATGTGAGCTCATGTTCCCAAGCCCTACAGGTATAGCGTTTAGGGTTTAAGGGTTGGGGCATCGTTGCCTGCAGCCCTTGTCCCCTCCAACAGTGCCTACAGTGCTTGGCGACGAATGTATTTTCAAATCGCTGCCGAAATCTACCCGACCTGTGGTGCGGTAAGGTTAGTGGTGTTCTCGGTAGGGGACGTGGGAATCCGGTTCCCTGTATAAACCCGACAATGGTCGTGTAGGGGAACGCAAGCTAGCGAAATTCCCACATTCCCCATGAAGAACTCATGAACGAAGTTGGGAGAAAAATGCAAGGTCTAGGCCAGCAGAGTGCTTCTTTGGCACCATTGTGCACGGCTTCCTTTTTGGGCTGCGTCTGTTGTGAAGAGCCTGGACCCGAAGTCTTTCGCAGAACGTGAGTGGAACGAGCACTTGAGCCATGTCGCAGACCCCTTAGTCCTAAGCTTGGTTTAGGGTTTAGGGTTTAGGGTTTAGGGTTTAGGGTTTAGGGTTCAGGGTTTAGGGTTTAGGGTTTAGGGTTTAGGGTTCTTCGGGACTAGGGTCTGGGGTTTAGGGTTTAGGGTGTAGGTGGTCTGGAAGCTGTTAGTGGTGCTTTGCTGGAGCGGACAACGCTGTTGCCCTTAATGTTGCCGGTGAAAAGGCCTCCGTCTTATAGACACCCCCCTATAAACCCTAAACCCCTGAACCCTCTCTGGCTCCTCTAGTAACAGGCCCGGAACCCTAAGTACTGTCTATCGTCAGTGTGCTTGCTTGGTGGAGGAGAGGATGCGGGCGATCTGGTCGATGCACATAACTACGAGAGCGCGCCGTGCCATGGCGCGTGCTCATTTGGGGTTCAAAGGTTGTGGGCTTTGTCAGTAATGGCCCTGCAATGTCTCCTGGCTTCGGACGTGCTTAGAGAGAATTAGGGTTGGAGGTTCATCAGGGTTTAGGGTGTAGGGTTTAAGGGTTGGGGGTTTAGGGTTTAGGGTTTAGGGTCTCTTAAGGGACAATCTCGTGAAAACTTCGCCAGGCCATGTCACGGTACTTTGTATACGCGGCCTTCCTTCTACTCTTCCTTGCTTTGCAAGAACTCGTGGGTGTGAGCCGGAGTAGATGTTGCGCAGCCCTGGGCCTGAAATTTATGCAGTCTTAGGGTCTAGGGTTTTAGGGTTGGGATTTAGGGTGTAGGATTTAGGGTGTAGGATTTAGGGTTTAGGGTTAGGGTTTCGGGTTTTGGGGTTTAGAAATACAAAGCCTGAAGCCTAAAACTAACAATGTCACATGATGGAGCCCAGGTACGACGGGCTGTCTCTTGGCTGAGGAAAGCCGGTCATATGGGGGTTTACGATAAATATGGGACCCCTTGTATGGACAGTAGGATCCCCTTATAGTGAGGACCTTAACAAGGTACCCTCATATGGCCTGAAACCCTAAACCCTACTTGGAGGTTCATGGGTTATAAGTAATGTTATAAGTACCCTGACTCAGGTTATGAGTATAGTTGTACTAAATACACATGAACCTCCACGTAAACCCTTAGAGAGAGTTCCTGAAAACTGAAAAGGTTCGAGAACTCCAAAGATTCGAGGGGTGCCGAGGCCACCAAGCCTTGTTTAGCGCTGGAGTGCTTAGTAACACTACTCTTATTCCAGACTCTAGCCACAAAGTGAGCTACCCCTTTTACCCTGAACCCTTGGGGGTGCGATTTTTGGGGCTTATTCTCTAGAGGGCTAGCTGAACATAGCTGAATTCTCAAGTTGAAATCATAAGCCCCATTGCAGGCCATAATGGCCCTTTCCGGGTCTGTTTAAGGCACCCGCAACCCTAAACCCCAAACCTTAAGCCTTAAACCCTAAACCCTAAAGCAACAAATGTCCTTTTGTGGCTTGGGCATTGTAAACGTGGCCATCGCCATCCTTTGCAGGTGCGTGTGCAGGCTAAGGCTAGGATAAGGTGTGGGGGGCTGTACATGGGTTTACAGGGCTCTACGAGCTCTGAGGTTTGCGCCCTGTGGTTCTAAAACGCCCTAAACGCCCCTTTAGGGTTTAGGGTTTAGGGTTTAGGGTTTAAGGTTTAGGGTTTAGGGTTTAGGGTTTAGGTCTCCGTTGCAGTAGGTTGAGCCTGAGCCTGGGCCAGCTCGCAGGCAAAGTACCTTCCAGCTTTGGCCGCTGCCTCTGGCCGGACGGGCGCTGGCCCTCGGTGAGCAGCTTTACTCCCTTGGCATGTGGGAGGGTTCAGGGTTTAGGGTTTAGGGTTCAATTCGGGGGTTTACGAAAATCGGGGACCCCTAATAGGCCCCCCAATCAGGTAAGATTCGCTTGGAACAAGGACCCCAATAAGGTACCCCGAATTTCGGAACCCCCCTCCCCCCCCCCCCTGTGTGTGTGTGTGTGTGTGTGTGTGTGTGTTGTTTTTTGTTTTTTTGCAAGTGCTGGGCCTAGGTGTGGTGTTCCCCCTTATACTAAGAGTCCTGAATAGGGATGATTAGTACCCCCTAAACCCTAAACCCTAAACCCTAAACCCTCAAACCCTAAAACCCTAAAACCCTCAAACCCTCAAACCCTCAAACCCTAAACCCTTTGAAGGGTTTAGGGTTGCGGGCCCGGCTTCGACTCTCTGAGCTTGGGTGCATCCTTGGCCTCCCGCAAAGCCTTGAGAACCGGAAACCTGAAACCCCCGAAATGCAGTTCGCGTGGCAAAAAGCCGAACAAGCCGAAATCCGCAAAGCCCTAACAGAACCTCAAACCCCTGGGAAACTCTACCCCCTAAACCCTACAAACCCTACAAACCCGAAACCCTAAACCCTAAACCCTAAACAAAAAAAACGCTCGAAAGCCAACCTCGGCCAAGAGTAAGGTACGGCGGCTTAGGGTTCCCGGTGGAGGTGTGGAAGCAGTGGGGTTCAGGGGTTCAGGGGTTCAGGGGTTTCGGGGTTTCGGGTTTGGGGGTTTATGCCGCAGCAGTCTTGGGTTAGAAAAGGGGTTTAGGGTTTAGGGATGTTTTTGGGTTTCGGGTTTAGGGTTCCATTTCTTGAGGGGTTTAGGGTTTAGGGTTCAGGTTCAGGGTTTCGTGTCTACTGTTTAGGAGTTCAAGTGTAGGGTTCCACCTGTTGATGGAAGTAAGGAATCTCCACCTGAGCAGGTTCAGGGTTCAGGGCCGTTTTGGCTCAAGGGTTGTTCTTCGGCTCAAGGCTACGAGGTTGATACAAAAACCCAAGCGAATTAGCAACAACAAGCATATTTGTGTACAGGTTGAAAAGCGAAGTAGAGAGACTTCGACGCTGAGGGATCTGCCCCTCTTTTTTACTTTGGGGTTCCTCTGGAAGATTGTGACCTTGCCGGCCGATTCTTGCTTATGAGAATGGTGGTCGATGAGGTGGACCTCTAAGCCTCTAAGTCCAAGAAATCCTACATACCTTCCACCCCAACCTCTACCCCCCAAGGGCTCCTTGCACTTACAAAACTACCCCCCCAAACCCAGACAACTGTTGAGTTACAACACTGAGGGCCCAGAGCTTCGAAAAGCGGCCTCAGGACCACGAGTGGTCTCCAGAAACTTCCTGGGCTTATGGGCAGCTTGGCTAACTTGATTAGGGTTTAGGGATGAGGTTGAAACTATCAATGCGACCATCGTTGTGTGCGCATTAAGGAGAAGGACAGAGAATGGGATAGAGTGAGTCCGAGAGAAACTTCGCGGGGGATTCTCCATAGCACACTCCTCTCACAGCCTCCCATGAAGCTAAACCCTAAACCCTAAACACTCATGTGTCGCCCCGACCAGAAGGCATGCGTGCCCTTGCGAGGGCGGATTCCCCTCACTTAGGCCGTTCAAAAGAAGACGAAAAAGAGAGAGCACATTAACTATTTAGCTGTGGGTAGTTCGAGAGAGAAGCTCCCCTGTGTGGGTTGGAATTGCGCTTGACCATCTTTAAATGTCAAAGTGGTAGGCCGCACTCTCTCTCTCTCTCTCCCCTTGTCTCCCTGTCTCTCTCTCTCCCTCTCGCTCTCTCGCTCCCCCTATCCTCCTCACTCTCCCTCAGGACCTTTTGAGAGACCTTGTCCGATCTGGCCATCCTGCGGAGAGTCAGAGAGCCTTGCTTGCCCAGGAATGTGAGCTACAACGCGAAGGACCCACTGCGATTGCTGGGGAAGGGCTCGGCTCGGATGAAACAAATCACAACACCTGAGTCCAAATTAACGTGGTTTTGTAAACCCGAAACCCTAAACCCTAAACCCTAAACCCTAAACCCTAAACCCTAAACCCTAAACCCTAAACCCTAAACCCTATCGTGCGAGTGCGGGAGTCGACGCTTTGGAAGGTGTTTGGTGCCTTGTTTGGTTAGTGCAGCGAGGCTTTCTGGAAGCAGCATGTAATATAGGGGCCTTAATAATTAGAGTAGGGTTTTTTGGGGGGGGGGGGGTATTATAGTATAATGATAAAGCAACCACAAGGGAATACTGTTAGTAATTATTCCGACCCCTATGCTAGGTTCAAATAGTGGACGCGGTGGAGCTTCAAACCACTACAGTGCCCCACAGCAGACTGAGACTGGTTTGCGCGACCCTAAACCCTAAACCCTAAACCCTAAACCCTAAACCCTAAACCCTGAACCCTGAACCCTAAACCCTAAACCCTAAACCCTAAACCTTGGGATATGTGAGGCATGGTTTTTAGAGCTCCAACCTTGCGAGGACTTCGCCATCAAGCTCTTGGATCTCGGGCACCGGCTCGAGGCCATGGCGGGCGGGGATCCCAAAACCCTTTTCGCGTAGGGGGGGTTTAGGGTTTAGGGTTTAGGGTTTAGGGTTTAGGGTTTAGGGATGTGTATGGTTTAGTGTTTCTTAGCGGTGGCGGGCCAAAAGCGGTTTCTTGGTGCTCTAATTACCGATTCCCCTCCCTCTCTTTGACTCTGACTGCTTCGCGTGGACCCTTTTGCCCGTTTACAGTTCTGGGTTCCCCTACATTTTCAATTCTAACCAAGCACAAAGAGGGTGCCCGTATTTTAATGTGGTTACTTGGCTACCAGGACTATAATCACCCCCCCCCCCCCCAAAGAAACACCCTGTTTGAATTCTTAAGCCCCCTACATTATCCGTCCTGATAAGCGCCAACAGAAGCTGCAACTGATTTTTGGGCAGTTGTTCGCGAAGCTTGTCCCAAAAGAACCATGACGAAGGTGACCCGTTTTGGTAACCGTAAACCCTAAACCCTAAACCCTAATCCGAGCATCTGTTTAATTGGGGGGGGGTTCCCCCCCCCCCACCGCAATAAGGAAGGCAGGGTTCCGCAATAATTGGACCATGGCCCTGCATTGATTCTCTATTAAAAAAAATGGGCTGCAGATCCCTGAGGTGCTGTAGCTTCGCATCTCCGCAAGCAAAACAAGAAGCCTGCCGACAGATTTTTGAACCCCCCCAAAATATTTTCTTTAAATGTGGTGGGTTTGCCCCATACGAAATCCACACTAATGGAAAGTAGTCTTCCGGCGGGCTTCCGGCCGAAAAAAACTTCTTAAAATGTGGGGGTATTAATTAAACAGATTCTCGGATTAAACCCTAAACCCGATGCCCCTTTTAAGAGGGCCTGGGCCATCCCCTTGAAGCACCATATGTGCCGACAAGGCGCTTCTTTGCGAGAACTGGATCTCTGCTGTTGCTTCTTGGCCGTGGACGGGGGTTTAGGGTTTAGGGTTTAGGATCCTGGCAGCAAGGAGTCCAGGTGCAAAAGGGTTTAGGATTTCGGGTTTAGGGTCTAGGGTTTAGGGTCCAGTGTCTACGGTTTTGAGTGTCCCGTATACTGATTTACTTGCACCGTCCCTTGAGCAGGTAAGTGCTTTTGGGCCGCAGGTAAGCCTTATTCCTGGAGACCCTTTTCTGCCTTTGCCTGGCCATAGTTCCTAAGCACCAAGCCCTATAAACACTACAAGCCCTACAAACCCCGTAAGACCTGAACCCAACATTCTGAACCCCTAGCAGTCTCCAGGGCCAAGGCCCGTGTTCGGACTCAGCAAGCTCATTTAAATTCAGGAGGATCGCTTTGAGCTAAAGGTCACCGTAGATTCCCAAATTTGTCCTTCTGATCTCGGGCCCCATTATGAGGATTCCTGAAAATCATCGAAGTCCCTCAGTCTAAAGCAGGAAGATTTGCCAGGCCTGTTGCAACTCTGAAACTAGAAGCCACACATCTGGTGCGGGGGTTTGGGTCCAGCCAAGCGGGTGCCAAAAAAACCCTTAGATTATTCAGAACTCCTGGGCCATGAGGTCTACACCCAGTGGAACGACATCGAAGAGGAACCCACGGAAGCCAGAAACCCCAAAGACCACGTGCTCTTGAGACACACTTAGAACACTCAACCCCAAACCCTTCACCCCTTGATCCTAGAGTAGAATCCGGCCCAATGATATTTTTGTAGGTAGTCGGGGCTTGGGTTTCAGACATGAGGTGGCCCTTTGGGTGCGAACGGTCAAGCTCCAAACCCTAAACCCTGAACCCTACGAGTGCTGTTTGTCCGACGCTTTTCAGCATCTTCGGGCGGACGGTCAGTGTTCGATCAATATCCTTGTCTGGAGTCCATCACCCGAAGCCCCATGTTTCAAAAAAAACGGTTTAGGGTTTAGGGTTTAGGGTTTGGGGTTTCGGTTTAGGGTTTAGGGATGTTTAGGGTTTAGGGCCCCACAACAAGCCCAAGCCTAAAATTAAAAGCACGTTTCCCCGCTGAGTGGTATCGTCCAACTATGCAGGTGATTAGAAGATCAAAAACTTTGTAAAACATAAAGTAAAACCCTCAACAGCCCTAAACCCTCAACCCTAAACCTGAACAACCATAAACTCGGAAACCAGGAGATCAATGGCCTTGTGACCTACGACCGTCTTCCGAAGCTCCCTCAGCCAGTGCTGCTGGAGTTCAGCGGGCGACTGGCGCAGGCGCTCTCGGGTCTGTTGCTCTCATCCTGAACCCTAAGCCCGAAACCCTAAACCCTAACCATAAACCCTAAACCCTGCTCTTTGTATACTTGAACCCTTAGGGCCAGAGTTCCTCTTCAAACTTTCCTCTTGGGGCTTTTGGGGGGTTTTATGGCTTGCTGTGGATAATTAAAAATGTTTCTCCAGTGACGAGTGGCGTTGTTGCTCCAGAAATCAGAGAAGTCTTGGCCGTGAACGAATGCAACAACGAAAGTAACCGAGAACGGCACCCACTACCAGAAGTCTAGGTAAACCTCCCAATATCCGACCTGTGTTGATCGACCTCTTGTCTTCTTCTACGACTCATTGCAGTCACCCACCGTGAATTTCCAAAGCTCCTCAGCTCCTCCTTACATCTAAATCTGCTTAGTGGAAATCCAACATCTTTCTAGGGCACCTCGGGAAACCCTGGCGTCAGGACCCCAACTCAATAGGGTGGATTCCCCGCAAGTGGGACCATGTGACTATGGCGTCATACATGCACGCTAAACCCCATCCCTTCTAACCCTAAACCCTAAACCCTAAACCCTAAACCCTAAACCCTAAACCCTAAACCCTAAACCCTAAACCCTAAACCCTAAACCCTATCCCTTCTAACCCCTAAACCTCGAGTTGATCAAAGGTCAGGTTAGAGGGCTTCCCTGCAGCATCCTGAAGCTTTTTCTGGACGTTTCGATCCAAGCCCCTTATTAAACCTCTCTCTAACAGGGTTTAGGGTTTAGGGTTTAGGGTTTAGGGTTTAGGGTTTAGGGTTTAGGGTTTAGGGTTTAGGGTTTAGGGTTTAGGGCCTCAAGGCATGCACCAAGCTCCGGGTTCAATAAGGGCCCTGAGAGGATAGGGAACTTGGGGCCTGGTAGGGTATTTGCTGGAGGGTGCTGGCGTGTTTCTGGCATGGTGTCGGATTCTCCGAATTCGACACCCCTAAACCCTAAACCCTAAACCCTAAACACACAGGTGCGAATGGCGAGGCTCAGAAGTCTCAAGGGCCTCGGATGAGTTGCATGCAGCCCCAGAACTTGTGTCCGGGGTTTTCCGAAATTAGGGGTATGTTGCGGTCCTCATTATAAGGGAGTCCTACTCTTTGGGATCTAAATTCGCGGTCCCCTATTTTCGTAAACCCCCATATCATTCTCTGCCACCTCCCACCTTGCAAGACAGGTGCACGCGGAGTGCGGCTTCGGACGGGCAAAAAATCGGCGGCTGTGCGGGGGTGTCGCAAGCTTAGGGCGCCCAGCAGGTATTTTCGGTGTCAAATGCCACCCACAACATTCTGCTTCTCTTAGCAGAACTGGGAAGAGGGTTGTGAGGCTATAGAGTCGACCCTTAGCACATTCCATGGTTCATGTGATGTTGTTGTAAACTTTTCCTTGAGTTGTAGAAGCTGGAGGTGAGCCGTATTATGTACTTATATATGTATCCCAGGTAGTATGGCCTTGCATGTGCTTTCATGATCTCGCTTTCAATGGGGCCCCCCAACAAGTTCATGAGATGCATGCTTGGCTGTCGGCCCGCAGGAAATCCTTGCAGTCTTTGCCGTGAGAAGCCTTGCATCTCTTGTCGGGTCTTTATCAGTAGACTTGAGGCCAGGAGGTGCCACGAGGTGCCAGGCGCCTCCCATTTCTGGCACACGCGTAGGACTTAAGAGCACCTAAACCCTAAACCATAAGCCCGAAACCCTAAACCCTAAACCCTAAACCCTAAACTCTAAACCCTAAACCCTAAACCCTAAACCCTAAACCGCCAAGCAGCAGCCAGCTAGCGCAGCGTGGCCGCGGCAATGGCGCAGCCGAGTCGGCCGGACCTGATTCCCGCGCCCGCGGTGATGCTCGACTCAACATTCTTGTGATTGAAGTGGCGGCCAGTGGCACCCTAAACCCTAAATCCCTAGCCCCTAAACCCTAACCCCTAAACCCCAAACCCTAAGACCTAAGCTCTACATCATCCTATTCCCAAACTCTCCGCAGCGAATCCGGTGGCACTCCTACAGGGCTTGCAGTGGCTGAGCCAATCTCGGTATGCATGTACGCACACATAGATCACATGTACCCAAGTTTGTAAACCCTGAACCTTAAGCCCTAAGCCCTAAACCCTAAACCCTAAACCCTAAACCGTGTTTGAAGAGAAGGGGTCAGCCTGAGACTGCTTCGTTTTCATAAGGACTCAGCGCCCCCATGGCGAGGGCACACCCAGCGGCGCCTCCCTGTTCAAGGAGCCAGTCAACGACAATGAGGGGGGTCTGGTACTAGGGTCAGGCTTTAGGGTTTAGGGTTTAGAGTTCAGGGTTTCGGGTTTCGAGTTTGAGTTTAGGGCCGGTTTTCGGGTACATCATGTCTTCACAGGTTTCGAGGGAAAGGCACTTCTTTGGCAAGTAGGAGAGGGGTGCCCCAACCTAGCCCAGAGCCCAAAGCATCCCCAAGCCCGATACCCGGAACCCTCAACCCTATAAACCGGCACCCGTCAGGGTAGTTTCAGGGGGTGGCTGGGATGCTCGATTTTCGAGACCAGCTGCTTCAAACGACCGGACGGGCGCAGTTTTAAGTGTAAGGGCTTGGGTAGTTCTCTCAATTAGGGTCCTTTTGGGTTCTTCTTAAAAGGGCGCCGTACTATACAAAGGACCCCAACAGGGGACCCGAATTTAGAGAATGACCCTAGGGATTTGAGGGTTATAGGCTATAGAATTTTGGATTTAGGTCTAGGGCTTTTGCCAAGGCCTTAAGGTCTGAAGTTGGGGTTGCATTAGTTTTGGGCTTTTGTCAAGCGGAAGGGATGACGGGCTCAGGATTTGTCACATACTGTGGGAAAGGGAAAGTGGACTTCGCGGCAGAGTCTCGACCGAAAAGAAAGCACCCACACATCTGTTCAGCTCGCACACTCCCCTTCAACACCCCTGGAGGGAGTCGCCAACAAGAAGCCATGTGCGAGCCGGATGCCTAAACCCACACACCCTAAAACCCCTAAACCCTAAACCCTAAACCCTAAGCCCTAAGCCCTAAGCCCTAAGCCCTAAGCCCTAAGCCCTAAACCCGGGCACAGGATCCGCGAAGCGATCGCGAGCGAATTGCAGCCTTGGACCTTTGGCGAGCACGCTGGCTGCAAGCAGAAGAGATTTCGGTACATAAGTTGTGTGCGTGCGTGCGTGCGTGCGTGTTTGTTTGTGTCTGTCTTGACTGGGACTTTTCATTGCATGGGCGTGGCTGCCTTCCATTCTTTCATCCCTTGCAGTCTTTTCTCTATCCGCTACCCTGCAGCCGAGCCCTAAACCCTAAACCCTAAACCCTAAACCCTAAACCCTAAACCCTAAACCCTAAACCCTAAACCCTAAACCCTAAACCCTAAACCCTAAACCCTAAACCCTAAACCCTAAACCCTAAACCCTAAACCCAGCACGTGCTCACACCGGGAGTCGAAGGCCTGTATCCCCCTTTGGCTTAGAGCGAGTTACTGGCAGATTTTATACTAACAGTCCTTAGTAGGGATTCGAATAATGGGGCGGGGGTACTATAATCCCTATTACGGACTGTTAGTATCGATAAACCCTATTAAGGACTGTTAGTATAAGGGAGTACATCCCAACTTAAACCCTACACCCAGGTGCACTTGGAGCAATGTCCAGACTGTGGCCATGTGCTTGGCTCAGGAAAGTCTAGGGGGTCTCAAGGTTTCTATTGGGCTCTTTAGGGTTTAGGGTTCATACTCCTCCTTTGCCGTGCAAATCTGCACTGGACAGACCCCTAAACAAAAAGCCCCAAACTCGGCCCAAACCCTAAACCCTAAACCCTAAACCCTAAACCCTAAACCCCTAACCCCTAAACCTGAAACCCAGTGAGGTCTCATGAGGTTTCTACTTGATACTTCGTCAGAGGGCTCACAAAGAACCTTAAGTGCTTTGTGGGCATGTGTTTAGGGTTTAGGGTTTAGGGTTTAGGGGTTTAGGGTTTAGGGTTTAGGGTTAGGCCCAAAACCCTTGAAAAGCCCTACAGACTAAGCACCTGAGCATGCCTCAGCCCTGCACCCCTCAAGCCCCAGAAATTCCCGAGCCGGGAATTCGGCAAGGGCGTTTTGATCTAACTCCCTCCTCCTACTCCGCAAGCAGAAGGAAGAAAACCTACCTGGAGGTTCATGGGCAGTTCTTACTGGTGGTTAGAACCTGTCTAAAGTGCTTGTATCCCTGCGTTTAGCTACACATGAACCTTCAAGTAGCCCCAAATTTCGTACAGGCAAACCTATACCGTCTTGATTTTGTTGGCGGTTAGTATGATGAATTTACTTTTAAGGTCACGGTAGATGAGCTGCTTTCGCTTTCCGCAGTCTGTTTTTGGTGCGCGGTCTTGGCCTCGTTTTTCTTCTTACATGTCAGCCATTGTGATTTCACATGCCTTCAGGATGCCCCCCCCCCCCCCCACATAGACCAAGAAGTCCCAAAGCCTCGCAAAAGTAGCGCCGCCATGTCCAAATTTGGCACAGACGTGAGTTTCGCGGCGCTTAGAGAAGTTGCACGGTGAAGCTTGCAGAGTCCGATGGCCCTGCGGCCCAAGACCCTACGAGATGCATCACGCCCGCCCTAGCTCCCCTCGGCTGCGTTCATTCTCGATGTCGCCAGCAAAAAACGAAACCTTAGGCTCCAAGCTTAGAAAAGCCCCCAAAAACTGCCCTAAACCACTAGTATGGCCGAAGCTTTAAACTGCAAGGTCCATGGCAGACAGGGAGCCGGCAAGTAACAGGGACTGCACATGGAGACCGCTCAAATTTTGGGTTTGGGGTTTAATTAGGGTTTAGGGTTTCGGGCTTGGGGTCAAGGAATTCAAGGAATGCGTAGTGTTTAATGGAAGCACGGGCTAGTTTTGGGCTTGCAAGGGCTCCGAGGATCTGCTTCCATGCGTACTGGAGGGCCAGTTTAGGGACGCTTGAAGAGTTACCGCAGCTTTTCGAGCATTTCATAGGGTTTAAAATGGGGCTTACTTGGCCCCTTGAATCTGGAGCTTGGTAAAGGGGCTTCGCCCCCATTAGGATCCTGTGTAATCTTCCGCGACGAGCCTCCTCTTAAGAATCCAAGCCTGGTCCCTCCTAAGCCCTCAACGTTCTTGTGCGTAGGGTTTAGGATTCAGGGTTTCGGGCTTCGGCTTTATAGGGTTAGGGGTTTAGGGTTTAGGGTTTAGGATTTCCCTAAGCCCTCAACACTTGGCCATTTCGTCTCGGCAACCTGCGAGCCGAACTGTGCCCAAGAGTGGCTCTTTAGCTTGGGTTCAGGATTTAGGGATTAGGGTTTAGGGTTCCGGGGTTGCGGTTTAGGGTTTAGGGTTTAGGGTTGAGGGTTTAAAGGGTTTAGGGCATAGGTGTGAGGGTTTACTTTCTGGCTTACGGTTTACACAGACACGGACTCCTCACTGGGCTGGTTCGAGAGGTGAGTGGGTCCAGACCCTAAACCCTAAACCCGGAAAAAAAAACAACCAAAGCTTGCAGCCTGGAACCAACGGCCCCATGCAACCAAGGTTCGCGACCCTGATTCGGCCGGAGAGGCACATCTATGAGTACACGCAGGCGCGGCTCATGCAACTTTTTGGAGGGGGAGGTGTGGAGTTTCTGGTTTGGGGTATAAGGGTTTGGGTCTTGAGGATGTTCTTTGCTGTGCGTCTGGGTCGGATGGTGTTGGTGTGAGCTTGGTAGTGTTCGACGTGCAGGCATAGAGGGCGTGAGGATGCAAGTTCAGAGGATCTTCGACAGGGGTTACACTGGGGTTTAGGGTTAGGGTTGAACAGGGCGTGGAGGTCGCATGATCGGCTGCGTAAGAGGCAGTTCTCCCTCCAAGGCAGCAAGATCTGCTGCAGCTGCCAGCCATGAACACCACCCATGATTCGATAGATGTATCCCGCCACACATGGCGCACAGCGGGCGAACAGTCGGAAAGAGATCTGGGCACTTCCCAAAAATGGGGGACCCCTCTCTATATGCCCCGAGATAGTCATGTCCTTCTTATAGGCGCCCCCCAACAGGTCTCCCTATTTTCGGAAACCAGAATGTGTCCATGGTGGCCAATGGTATTCAGCTTCTCTTTCAGCTTCTGCAGCCTTAAACAAACCATTAGAAGCCCTGCTAACAACAGTCAACAACCCAAGCGCTTCCACCTAACACCTCGAAGCAGTTTGTTGCTCACCTCTGCCCTCCCAAAGAAGCAAGCGACTCGACAAAGTCGGTGCTCGAGGCTGTCCCTGATGATCTGAACTGCACACTGTGTGGCGACGTCTTTCAGAATCCGTCCCAGATTCCGCACCTGGGTTCGCGCTTTCTCCAGCAGGTTTGAGACAAGTAGCAGGTTTGAGGACGGAAAACAGTCGGGTTCGGCTCGGGCGCTGGCCTGGTGGGTTTGTGGCTCAGAGCTTCCCGGTCGCCACCTTTTAAGGGTTCTGAAGTGTGGGCCCTTGGGTTTTCAGAAGGTATATAAGGTATATATATATATATATATATAAGGGGTCGGACCATGTAATGTTGACTTCACATTAGTGGATCCACCCGCAATTGTAAAATCCCGCTGCCGGAACACAATAGTGTAGCCCGCCACAATTGTAAAATCCGACCCGGGAAATCCGGGTTTTACGGGTGATGCTACTACTACTACTACTACTACTACTACTACTACTACTACTAGTACTACTAGTACTACTAGTACTACTAGTGGTACTACTACCTAATACTAAAACTAATACTACGACCTACCAGTTTTTAGGCGGATACTATTGAGGAGGCCCTGGCCGGAGAGATTGATCAATGAAGGGGGGGGGGGGTTATTAATGCGAAGTCAACATTAACCCCAGGCCCTAAGCCCTTAACCCTAAACCCGAATTCAACCTTCTCAAAAGTCTTCAGCTTTATTTTCGAGCGCCCCATTTTCTTGATCCATCGTCCCCCAGCGGACACCTTTCGGTCGACCGCATTTCTCTGTCATGCTCCCCCCCCACTTGAGTGGGCCTAGGGGTACACGTATGGGCCCTAAATTGGGGGACCCCTTAAATATACCTTCTATATACCTTATATATACACCTTATATACACCGTATATAATCCGAGGCCTGTCAGCTTGAGATCTGAGGTGTGGGCACCACTTCTGCAGCAGCTGCATTCGTGCTCTTCTGGCCCGAGGGACAGGCGTCGTGCGAGGTAGAGGTGTGTAATAGCCAAAGAGCAATGTACAAAATCAAGTTGTCAAGGCCAGAGCCTCCCTCCATCCCCTCCCTCCATCCCCTCCCTCCCCTCCCTCTCTCCCTCTCTCCCTCTCTCCCTCTCTCCCTCTCACCCTCTCCCTCTCTCTTTCTCTCTCTCCTCTCTACTCCTCTCTACTGCTCTCTACTCTTCTCTACTCCTCTCTACTCCTCTCTACCCCGCGCCAGAGCCAGGCCGCGCGAATTGCCCGCTGGATGGCCAGATTGTGACACGATTCGCTGCGCCTTGTCTGCAAACCAGGTTATTGGGCTCAATACAGGACCCGAAATAACTACCATCAATAGTATCCCTGAAAACATGACTTAACAACCACAATAGAACCTACCCAAGAGAATGCTCCATTCTACTTGAAAAGGTCCCAAAATCACCGGGGGCTTGCTTAAGCCAACATCTTCGCAGACCATGACTCCCTGAGACAACTTTGAGCCTACAGGGGGGTTCCGCGCAACATCCTACATCCGATATTCAATCCGTCAACTCTAGACCCTTTTCCCTTTTGTTGGTTCAAGGTTCCGCTAAACCAACCCAAAACCGGGTGCCCTCATTTTGGTTATTGGGCTGCCAAAACACTCTGAACTCTGAGTGGAGAGCTAGGACTCCAGTCCCTTCTGCGTTGAGCGATGGGTGTTTTCTTTTTTGGACTTCTGCTTCACGGTTGTCTGAAAATCGGTTTCGCGGCATTGCGGCCTCCGATAGCGCTGTCCATGCCTGGACTTCGGACCATTTTCCTCGCCTGCTTGTGCCGCTGAAGACACCCTCTGGAGCCCGAAAACTCGAAAAGCAGTCGGAACCTAACGACCCTGGAACCCTAGCCACCTCTAAACCCTAAAACCCTGACCCTAGAACTCCATGAAAACCCGAACGACCCCAGGCCCTTCCTTCAGACGAGCAGCTGCTGCTGCGCCTCAGCCAACTCCGGGTGCGTTGTCCAGTGTGCAGAGAGGAGAGGGTTTAGGGTTGAGGGTTGAAGGGTTTGATGCCTGGGATCAGGGGCTTAAGGGTTCTGGGATATAGGGCAACTGGCGCGTATGGGTTTTTACCGGCCGTGTTTCTAGGGGTGAAACAACGGCTGAGGGCTCAGCGCTCAACAGGATCAGCGCCTGGGTTCAAACAGGACTGCAATGCAAGGGTTTGAGGTTTGAGAGTGTACAGGTTCAAGTTAAGGCTTTCCGGTAAGATCTGTGAGCTATAGGCTATAGGCTGTAGGCTCCAGCTGCAGCAGCAGGGCAGCAAAACCCCCTTGCGAACTGCCACTTTGAGGCAGCCTGCAAGACCAGTTTCAAAGGCAGGTCTTTTCATCTGAGGCTGCAGGAAGACCCCCTGGTTCTCAGTAGGGAATCAGGGAATGAAGGCCCAAAATACCCTTTAAGGGATTATATAGGGTAGTTACATGGTCCCTTGGTAGGGCCCTTAAAAGGGTACCCCTTGCTGTATGTACCCCTTATCTACCCTATACAAATTGAGGGCGCAGACAGCAGAACCCTTTAGAGAAGGTTAGGGACCATGAAACTGGTTGTAGGGGAGAGCCCTAGAGCTAAACCCTAAACCCTAAAATACCCTAAACCTTAAAAATTCTAAACCCCTAAACCCCTAAACCCTAAACCCTAACCCCCTAAACCCTAAACCCTAAACCCTAAACCCAGAGATCTTTTGCCTGGGAGGACATATGCATTGCGGACCTGCAGCTGCATCTCCAGGATCCGGCTCCTCTCTTTCCAAGGGGGTTCTGGTTCAGGTTCAGGGAAACCCTAAACCCCAAACCCTAAACCCTAATCCCCAAGCTGCCTAGGATTGAGGGTTTCGGGTATAGGCCTGGGCTTTAGGCCCAGGATTCCCACCTTAAGCCCTACAGCATCAATGCCGGGAGCCTGTGCCTCGCCTGGCTTGTCCGAGTGTGCGCGACTAAACCCACCATTTGTGGGTCGGGCTCGGGGCGACCCAACCCTTAACCCTCAACCCTTAACCCTCAGCCCTAAACCCTAAACCCTAAACCCTAAACCCTAAACCCTAAACCCTAAACCCTAAACCCTAAACCCTAAACCCTAAACCCTAAACCCTAAACCCTAAACCCTAAACCCTCAGCCTTGGTCACAGGTTAGGGTTTCCGGTCCGGAGGCTCTGGTAAGAGTGTTGCTGAAGAGTAGCTGTACAAGGATGTAAGGGAAACACGGGCAAGCAATTCCTGTGTAATCTTACTCAAGTTCACCCAAACCTTACTCCTAAATCCTCCGTTTAAGACTTCTTTCTGAAAACCCAAGGTCTGCATGGTCGAATCTGCAGAGGCGTATCGCTCGATCCTCCACCCTTTCTACTTGAGCTGCCCGTTGTCGACGCTGCCCATGTTTCAGGGGTTGATATCTCAGAGTTCGGGGGTTGGGCCGTTTAAGGGCCCTGCAGCAAAAGGGCTTTTGGGGGGGGGATCGGGTTTTTGGTAGTCATGGGTCCGCTGAGGGCTGTTAGAATCTTAGACTTTTTTCAGTGCTGTTTTTTTTTTTTTCTGGAGGAACTGGGGGCACAGGTTTTTTTGAACTATTCAAACTATTCAAATGGGGCGGGCGGAGAATCTTAAATTTCTGTGCCCAAAACTCCATAAAAAAGACTTCCCGGACACAATGGACCTATCCCTAAACTCGAAACCCCACAAACCCCCCGCCAGCGTTACGAGGAACTTCACCGTTGGAGAGTTCAATGGAACTTCCGCCTTGATCCGCGGCTTGTTGGCATGTGGGTGGGTGGGGGGGGGGAGGGCCTATCGCTTGACTTCATAGGCTAGGGCTTAAGAGAGGGATAAAATTGTTTAGGGTTCAGGGAAGTAGGGGCTCCTAGGGGTTTAGAAGGGAGACCGGGGTTAGGGTTTAGGGTCGGGGTGTATGGAAGTTGTGGGGGTTTAGAGATGTTTAGAGGGGTGTACCCTAAACCCTAAACCCTAAACCCTAAACCCTAAACAGGGCCTATCGGGATGAGAGTTGTTTATGGGCGTAAATAGAGGCTGAAAAGTGCTGATTGGGGTTCTGGGACTGACAGGTCTCATAAGGTTTGGGGCTTTTCGGAGGCTATACGGCTATAGGGTGTTTAATATTAAGTACCGTTATTCAAGGGCTTTAGGGCGTTGAAGGCTTATAGGGTTTCCATATTCTCTGTTTATGGGGGGGGTTGAGGATCCCTAATCAACCTCATCATGAAGCATTCTAGTCTTCTTTTTGTATACAACCATCACTCTTGGTCAAAGATGCCAGCCCTGGTGCGTATGAGAAGTCTCACAAGACTGCCTTCATCAGCTCAAGACGTGTGTTGGATACAAAGAAGTCCGATCAACATGTAACGGCAGTCGTGATCGAATTTTGGTGTCTTAAAGAAGAACTCGACGGAAGTTGTCCCTGACGACTCAGAATCGAAATATGTTGAGCTTCCTGCAGAAATAAAGCTTCAGCATTGTATCTGAAGCCGGTATGTAGGGGAGTTAAGGTAATTTACAGCAAAGTAGAACCCTATGTGATCCATTAGCCGGGGGATAACAGGGTATAATGCCCCCTTATTATCCCATAAGCCACCCTGTTGAAAGGCCGTTTTAAGGGGGTTACAGGGTATCGTGGATCTGATCGTTCGCGGCTGGCAACGTTCCCTGAGGTCTTTACAGAAAGCTGGGCCCTGTTCTGCTGAAGCGCTTCGTGCTGACTACGGAGAGCTCCTGAGAGACGCAGTTCGATGTGGGATGATGTGGGCATTGCGAAAAATTTGGGGGTTACGCCTTATACACCCCAAAAATACGGGTTTGGGGCGTGTGGGCGGCGAGCTATCATTGTAGGGTGTTTGTTGGGAAGCCCTGACCCACAGAGCCTTCGCCTTTCGATTTTGTGGGGGGGCGGGGGGGGGGGGGGGGGGGGGGGGGGGGGGGCTGTTGGCTGTTCGTCTTGGCCCTTTGAATGAGCTTTCCGAGACCCTGCACAGATCCTGCAGTCCCTATAAAGCCTAAACCCTGATCCGATAGCTCCAAGAAGAGATTGCCCGAGGCTTCATCGTGCTGCCCGACCCGAAGATGGGTTCCTGGCCGGCAGCGAGCCCCCAGAAGCTTGATTCAGGAGCCTTAACCCTGAAATCCTAAACCCTAAACCCTAAACCCTAAACCCAGATGCGGAGATCGTGTGACTGCTTTCGGCGGCAGGTCCAGGCGTGCTGGGGCCCCCATGCTGAGGGCTCCAAAGTCTGCGGTTTAGGGTTTAGGGTTTAGGGTTTAGGGTTTAGGGTTTAGGGTTTAGGGCGTAGAGGGGATACTGGTTTTAGGCATTATAGGGTTTGTTTACCCTAAACCCTAAACCCAAAACCCAAAACCCTAAACCAAACTTGGGGGGGCTCAAATTTGGGGGGGCTCTGGGCTCCTGACACCTTAAACTGTAAACCCTAAACAAAGTACGTGAGAGTCGAAACCCTAACCAACTACGTTTTGGGTAGACTGGCTTGCCTTTCAATGTCTCATTCTGCTCAATTTAGGTTTGAGTGACCCCTAAACCCTAAACCCTAAACCCTAAACCCTAAACCCTAAACTCTAAACCCTAAACCCTAAACCCTCCACAGATCGTCGGTTTTCCCATGTAGTGCCCCGCGATGGACAGGCTTCCAGCCGCAGTCTGAGGAGGATGCCGGCCTGCTTCGTGCCTGAGCTTGGCTTATGGGCTAGGGTTTAGGGTTTGGGGCTTGGGGTTTGGGGTTTAGGGTTTGGGGTTTGGGGTTTCGGGTTTAAACCCTAAACCTTAAACCCTAAACCCCGGTTTGGGGTTTAGGGTTTCAGGGTTCAGGGTTTAAGGATAGTGACTGCTGATGGGCTGTAGGGTTTCGGGTGAAGCTTCTGCCCGTGAGGTGTTTCCAGGCACGAGCACCAGCTCCATGGTTAAAAAGGGGTTAGAAAAAACAGAACATACAAGTATGTACAACAGGGTTTCCGTCAGGTTTTTAGTCGGGCTTGGGTTTCAGAACCTGCTGAGCGAGTCCGGTGGCAGAAGCAGGGTGGTTTGTAGGGTTTATGCAGGCTGGATCGACTGTGTCGCGCGTTATTGGCCTGTTCGTCAGGCTAGCGCCTAGAAGCCTTCATTCAAAAAACCCTTTATGAGACCCTGCTTCGAGCTGATCCATGTCCTGGCAAGGGACATCTGACTAAAATCCTGCACCTTGGACCCTCAACCTGATTCAAACTCCTCCCCGCCTTACCCTTACCCAGGACGAGAAGGTGGCTACTTCAACGCCTGGTGGGTGCACCCTGCTTTCCGCCAAGAGGTGGACAAAGGGGCTTGAAGAAGTTTCTGGATCAAGTCAGGGTGGGAGGTGTCTGCAAAGGACCCAAAGCCCAACCCTAAACCTTGAGGTCTCAAGCGGAGTGGTCATCTGGATACCTTCAAGGTGTTATGATGCCAGGGTCGGGGAGTTGCTGTTTGTTTTCCGGTGGTCCCTATACCGGTGTAGGTTCGAATCCAATTGTAGTTTGTTTCCCCCCATGTAATCCTTTTCAAGCCATAAAGATTTAGGTTTTCACAGGGCCCCCCCGAACCTACCCCAGTCTAGTGGGCCCTTCCTGTTTGTAGCTGCCAGGGTCCCGTTAGGAGAGCGTTGCGGGGCATCGCGTTCGAGAGCGCAGGTCTGGTGGCACACTGGAGATGCGGAGGCCGAGGCACAGCCGTGGCCCCAGGGGTGCAAAGCTCCTTGAGAGGTACGCATGGAATGACCGGGGTTGGGTCGTAGGCTTACCTGGCTACCTTTAGGCCATCTAGTCTGGGAGTGGTTGGAACTCATGGTAACATCACTTCTGGCACGCCTCCGCAGCTGGGACGCCAGTGAGTAACCCTAAACCCTGCTACAGTGCAGCCGCGCTCAGTTGCGCAGATACAGAGACAGCACCGAGTATACCCTGAACCGCAGTGACCGCTTAGGCAGGCAGCTCGCTCGCCGACGGATTCTGCTTCCAAATCCTTCCACGAGGCCGTTCGCAGCCCAACCGCGTCAGAAGGCCATCTGGGCAGGTCCTAGACGTTTCTTTCTTTCTTTCTTTCTTTCTTTCTTTCTTTCTTTCCTTCTTGCCTTCTTTCTTTCTCCGTCTCTGTCTTACTCATTCGCGTATGTTACTATTCATGCACACCATTCCTGCGTGGCATGAAGCATGCCAAGGCAAGCAAGATGCCGGAAGGTGCGCAGCTTGTTGCCCAGCGTGACCTTACTCTTCAGTGCATCAGGGTGCCCCTGCGGGCCGTTCCTCTAGGGCTCCAGTGTGGAGAGTTTGCAGATCGACTACTACTTGTTTAAGAACCCCCCCCCCCAAAAAAAAAAAAAAAAATCCTTATAAGGCAATCTGGGGGTGATTGTCTTGTGTTTTTTGGGGGGTTCTTAAGCAAAAAGTAGTAGAGGGCTCACATGCAAAGAGTTTTGTATGCGAGGGAAGGCGTTCTTGTGCTGTCGAACAGGGGTTAGTTGGTTAGTTTGAGCTGACTCGTCGGCTAGCCATGATTGGTGCAGACTCTTTGGACCTGAGCCAACTCTATTCAAAGGCGTGAGAAGACATTGCCTACACAGACACAGAAGTACTTCAACAGAGCATTCTGACTTTCGTGATCCTGTTTTTTGCAGCAGCGACTCTATGACGGTGCAGCGGATGTCTTGTGCATCCGACAGCATTAGGCGAATAATGAGTGCAAAGTCGCAGACGCAAGTTTTGACCTTAAAGCCGAAACCTCAAGGAAAACGATTTGCAACTGAAGCATCCGGTTGTGTAAAAGCATGTCAACGCCATGCAATGTGGCAGGTCTTTACTTGGGTCCAGCGATTGCTCCAGTGAGCCCTGGCATCAGTCTTCCTTCGTGCACACCTGGTCCAGTGTTCGCACCACAGCCGCAGATGATGATGATGGTGATGACGATGATGATGGTGATGATGATGGTGATCATGATCATGATCATGATGATGATGATGATGCTGATGATTCACTGGGGCAAACCACGGATTTCAGGGGGATTCTCTTCAGGGTCCAGGCTCACAGCGCTGGTCCTTCTCTTTAGGGTTTGAGTTGGTAAGGTGTATAGGCTGTATATGGTTTAGGTAGTTATCATTCTGTCTTTGCCTTGCTGTAAGAATGCAACAGCGGCGCAAGGCAGCCACGCAGAGATGACTGCATTTTCTGACAGAGATGGGGGTTTCCGAATACATGTGGTCACCCGGAGGACCTTGCACAGAGCAAGCGCAAACTGTGAAGTTAGTTCGAGGGCGTAGCCTCATGAACGTTTTTCGTATGCTGGGGCAGACACCGGACAAGTTTAGGATTGAGAGCACCAAAGACGTCGCCAGACTTATGAGTCTCTAAGCCCAAAACCCCGAAACCCTAAACCCTAATCCGTTCTGGCTCTGAAGCTCCAACTACCTGTAAATCTCGCGCGACTCCTCTTTGAAATAGGTCATGTGCTCGGAACCCCAGTAGGCCCTTATTCGTTGTTCACTGTAGGAGTGGCCTGAAGGTGTCAACGCTCTTGAGCCATTCTTGTCTGAGGTTACTCTGGAATCCATAGCGTATGAGGGTTTACTTGGGGTGCTTTCCGTAAGACGAAGCAAGCCAGCAGCAAACGATGGCTCAGATGTCATCGCCACTAGGCCACTTCCTTTCAGCTTGAGGCCCCAAACCCTAAACCCTAAACAACCTTAAACTCTAATCCCTAAACCGATTTCTGTTGGCCCAAGGCAAGCCCACCCAACCGCGCTACCTCTGCTGCGCGCGCGACCTGCGTGGGGAGGAGACTTCCAGTCCAAAGATTGCCGGCCCGAAGCCCTCAGCCCTAAATACTAAACCTTTAGGGTTTAGGGTTTAGGGTTTAGGGTTTAGGGTTTAGGGTTTAGGGTTTAGGGTTTAGGTACGAAAAGGGATTAGTACCTTGTGGAACCCTTTAAAGCATGTTTATAGGGGGATCTCAGGTGCCTACTTCTTTGATTCCCTGCTGGGGACTAGTAGGTCAAACCTAAACCCGGTGAGTGAAATTAAGTTCTTGAAGGGCTCGGAATCGGGTGTAGGCGTTTTAGGGTTTAGGGTTGAGGGTTTAGGGTTTACCCCACAAAAAGTCTAGAAGCCTTACGACAGGAACCCCACCAAACATCGGGCTGCCCCCCTTTCCCCCCCACCCCCCCCGATAGTCAACGAAAGTCCAACCCCGAACTCTAAAGCAGAATTCCCTAACCCTAAACCCAAAACCCACATGGGTGCTTTCCTAAACCCTAAACCTTAACCCCCCTAAGCCCTCAAAGCCGAAACCTCAGGATCTGCCCATGCTGGAGAAGTTCTACAAGGATGTGCTGCACTTTCTCAAGGCAGAGCGAACCCTGGACCCTAAACCCTGCGGTTAAGAGTTTTAGGGTTTAGGGTTCAGGGCGCCTGAACCCCAAATCACCCCAGGCCCCAAACCCTCCACCAATTTAAACCCTGCGCTGGCTTAAGGCTTTGAGACAACCCATGTTTCGAGAATCCCTCCCAAATCCAACAGCTCCAACATCACCTACATGGTTCCGGCTGTAGTGTTTGGGGGGCTTATGGTTCAGCGGCTTAAAGCTTAGACTGGTTTAGGGCTTGGGGCTCAGGGTCTAGGGTTTCGGTGTTTGGGTCCTACACACTATGGAGCCGCAAGCAGCCCCTGCGCACGAGAACATGAACTTGGAGATGTCCTAGGGTTTAGGGTTTAGGGTTTGGGGTTTAGGGTTTAAGGTTTAGGGCTTAGGGTTTAGGGTTTAGGCTTTCGGAGGTAGGGTTTATGAAGGGTTGGGGAACTCTTATTTAAAATTAGGATGTTGATTCCAAGCTTTACCGTAAACTCCAAAACGTTGGGACATCCTTATCCCCATACCCCAAAAAGGTATACTAAAGGGAATCCCAGCTCTAATCATCCTTAAAGCATGTTCCGACTTTCTGGAGTTTGCTGTAGAGCTTGAAAGCTCTGAGCACGGAAGCCTTCAACCTAAAGACCAGCGAGCTCCAGAAGTCCTAAACTCTTTTTGGCTTGGGGCCCTAGAAGGCCTTGAGCCCCAAAGGGGTTTAGGGTTTAGGGTTTAGGGTTTAGGGTTTAGGGTTTAGGGTTTAGGGTTGGGGTTCTAAACTCAAAACCCTACACCCTAAAGCGTGACTCCACAATGCGGCAGGTGCAATACTCGGTGCCTGAGGAGCGCGTTTGGGTGTTCGCCCACTACCCGGCCAGTGCGCGTTACTCCACACTGCACTTCCACATCATCTTCGAGGGCTCCGAGGCGCGGTTTCAGGGTTTAGGGTCCAGGGTTTAGGGTCTAGGGTAATTCATGCCCACAGGCTCAAGCCATTGGCTCGACATTTTGGGGCTTATTCCCAAAACACCTCGCTGTTTTGCCAGGGTTGAGTCCCTGCGTTACTGCGTTGCATGTGTTCCTGTTACAAGGCTGGCTGCGTTCATACTGCATCCGAGCTGACGCCAGTGCTTTCGGAGCTTCAGGCCTTGGAGGAATCTTGCCTCTGCCGTTTGCGCTGTGAGGATGGAAGTTGGCAGTCAGACCGATCCAGTGGGAGGTCATTGACCAGGGACCGATGTGACCATTAATGGTGGGTTTAGGGTTTAGGGTTTAGGGTTTAGGGCTTAAAATGTCCAGGAGGTATGGGCATCGCGTGCCCAACTGAAGGCGAAGGGATCAGCATACTGCAGAGCCTCCTCATCGTGGCTTCGTCCATGCCGTCGAGTTGCCGGACCTTGCCAATTCTTCGGGCTGTATCTTGTGCTTTCCATGCTCTCAGGAGTCGAGTTAAGGGTGCTGGCATGCAAAGTCACACGAGTAAAGATAGTAAGGGATTTAATGGAGTGAGGGCCGACAAGACGGGGGGCCCGCTCATCGATGCGCACTCGGTCTTTTTAGAAAAAGGGCTGGGAGTGCATCAGGCGGTGCATGCGGCAGGTGAACCATGACAGTACAGCTTACTTCTGCAGCCCGGTAGCATTAAGGCTAGAACGCCCGCGATTTATGCTGTCACGAAACGGGTCTTCATTTGGAATTGGGTTTTGCTTGCCCTGACCCGCAAGAAGTCACTGTCCAGAAGGTCGGTTTTTGAGCTACAACCGTTATCACACACTCTCAGGAGCCACTTTTGACCCTGTAGGCTTTGGGATGGTTCTAAAGACGCACCAAAAGGCCATCACCTTTCGAAATCCAATCTCAGGCTTTAAATCTTTACCCGGGACCCCCTTGTTGTTCTGCTTTGGTAATCCCTGGTCCGCGAGGCTGGAAGGTTCTCAAAGTATGCGCGGAAGCTT